GGCAGTAGTGCTAACCACTGAGCCAGCGGGCCACACATACGTATGTATATGGCTGATGCAGTTCTGTTCCTGGTCATTGGTAACGTCCAAGAAGTTGTTAGTAGGAGATTCAGCATTTTAATGTGATTGAATTATGAGGGTGATGTGGGATTCTGTCTTGTTAGAAATAGACATTGCCTGACACTTGTTAGTCGCTACTTATCAGTCTAAGCCTTGATGTTCTCCAAAACTTGCTGTATAGGGACAAGGAGTGGTTCAGTAGTTGAGGGGTTGCAAATAGTGCTAAATATTGTGCAATCGTCAGTGAACATTTGAACTTCTGACCTTGTGATGGAAAGGAAAGTCATTGATGAATCATATAAATACGTTTGAGCCTAGGACAAAAACCTGAGGAACTTCTGCAGAGATATTCAGTTGCTGAGATGATCCAGCTCCCTTTGTGATGGGTATTATTCTAACCGGTGGAGACTTTTACCTCTTATTCCAATGGACTCCTGTTTTATTAGGGCCTCTTGAAACCACCACAATCAATCACTGCTTGATGTCAATGGAAGCCTCTCTCACATCCCCACTTGAGTCCAACTCTTTTGTCCAAGAAATTAATTGGCTTTTTTCAGTCTTAAGCTATTTTTAACCACAGACAGAAGGTGAGCTCCTCCCTTTATGGAGGTTTGATGCTTTCTGCTCAAACATGCATATTCGTAAGCTCTTCAATTACCAGAGATTTCAGTGACATAGTTACTGGCAAGCAGAAGGCCTTTGTCGTTGACAATGGATCTCCATTCCCTGGACCAGTCACCCACAGCACCTTCCCGTGTAAGGTGTAATACCTGCCTGACTGCTTCCTCACTGTCCAAGGCTCCAGATGAAGAAGCAATTTACCTGAAATTCACTCAATCTAGTCTACTATACTCACTGCTGATAATGTGGTCTCCTCTACACTGGGGAGATGAAACATAGGATGGGTGACCACTTTGCTGAACACCTACATTCTAAAAATGACCCCAAGCTTCCAGTTGCCTGCCTCTTCAACACACCACTGTGTTCCCTGGCCAAAATTTCTGTCTTGGGACTGTTGCAGTGCTCCAACAAAGCTCAGCGTAAGCTGGAAGAGCAGTATCTCACTTTTTGCTTGATGATCCTGCGGCCTCTAGGACACAACATCGAGTTCAATTATTTTGGGGCCTGAACACCACCTTCCTTGTCATTTACCCATCCCTACACCCCAGGCCTCGTCATCACATGAGCTGCTTCAGCACAGCCGAACAGTTCTCACCCATTTATCAGCTTATCAGCATTTCTCCTTCCCTGGCATGCCGTTATTCATCCCTTTGTTTCCCTAACTGCTGCTTTCTGTCTCTCTGTCTGTTTGGTCAATCTACACTCGTCGTGAGTTCCTTTACACAACCCTACCCCAACTCCCTGTCTTTAGTACACAAGTGTCATGTAATGTACTTTCAAAAAAATGCAGCAATCCTTTCCACAATCCTTGAGGTTTAAAATCGTCCTTTTCCCATTTCAGCCCACGATCAAAAATGCAGAAAATTAAAAAGATATGGTCTTTACATAAGTGCCACTTGGTAGCTTCATTGCTGACACTTTAATTAAGAGTAGGCTAATGGGATGATAATTAGCTAGGGCAGATCAGTCCTGCTTTTTGTGGGCAGGGCACCTGGGCAATTTTCCACATTGCTAGGTAATTGGAAGCTTTTGAACTGTACTGGAACTGCTCGTCTTGAGACAGACCTAGTGCTGGAACGCAATGCTGAAATATCTTTGGTACCAATCTTTATAGTATTCAGTGCCATTTCTTTTTGATTTAGTATGGAGTGAAGGGAATTGGTTTGACTAAACGCTGACATTGGTGATGCTGGGGACCTTTGGAGGAGGCCAAGTTATATCTTTCAGCACTGCTGGTTGGAAATGGTCACAACTGTTTCTGCCTTCTCTTTGACACTCATGTATGTGCTGGATTCCTCTGTCAGTTCTGCTGCTGCCAGTGGCCCATAGTGCTTCACAAATGCCAGTCTTGAGCTTCTAGATCTACTCAGAATTAATCCCATTAAACCCCCAGGATGTTGATAATGGGGTCTTCAGTGATATTAACACCACTGAATGTCAAGGGATGGAGGTTAGATTGTCTTTTGTTGGAGATGGTCATTGCCTGGCATTTGTGTGGCACGAATGTTACTTGCCACTTTTCACCGCAAGCCTGGATATTGTCCAGATCTTGTTGCATTTGAACATGGACTGCTTCAGTGCCTAAGGAGTCTCAAATGGTGCTGATGTACTATCATTGGCGAAAATCCCCACTTCGAACCTTATGATGGAAGGAAGGTCATTAATGAAGCAACTGAAGATGGTTGGGCCTAGGATACTACCCTGAGAAACTCCTGAAGAGATGTCCCGGAGCTGAGATGACTGACCTCCAACAACCACAACCATCTTCCTATGTACAGGCATGGGTGGTGGTAGGTGATAATGAGCAGAGGGTTGATACCAGGCAAAGTTCCTAGTATCAAACTAGACACTGGAAAAATACCCAGCAAACCCAATTCTGTCATACTTAGAAAATAGTCAATGCTAACATCTGAAGGCTTGTACCGAAATTGGAAGAACAGTCCCACAGATTAATTACGGAACAATGTAACATAGTTATTGCCTGTGAGATTTAATGTGTTGACCATGTCTGAGGCACCACCATCACCATCCCTTGGTATTCCCTGACCAAGCAACAGGGCACGCCCACCAGAGGTGGAGCCCAGTGGTACACGATTGGGGAAAGGTTGCCTTTGAATCCTCCACCATGACTCTGAATGCCATGAAGTTTTGTAGTAGCAAGTCGTATATAGGCAAGGAAATCTGCTCACACCATTAGCTACCATCTATTATACCTTTCCCTTGAAGTATCGATTCTCCTTGTTGAACAGCAATTGGAAGAAGCACTGATAATGGCAAAGGCACAGAATGAATTCTGGATTGGAGCTTCTGTATCCATTACCAGGGTAACTCAATAGCACTACCACTCAATATTTGGGCAGATCTGAATCAGTGCAATGATAATGCTACCCATAGGCTCATGAGGCCACAGCATTTGCAAGGAAAAGACAATTATTGCTGTCATGTTGAAACATGAGGAAATAGGGATGTTCCAAAATACCTCATTAGGAGCATATCAGGAAACAAAGAAATACGGTGGTTACTCCCACAAAGCCTATTCTCAAAATGAAGCCAGTTAAAAGAACTAATGAGCTAATGCAGGTCTGGAGGCAGAGAAGTGTGAGTAATGTCTTAGGAAATAAGAGATGGCAGAAAAAGTGTCAACAATTTTTCATTTTGAAGTTCTGACTGGATCCAAGGCTGAAAACATGGAAATAAAAAATACATAAATGCAAAACAGTCACAATCTTTTCAGTGTAAACTTATTCTGCTTGCATTTCATAAGAGGCCGCAACACAAAAGCAAAAGTGAACGTCTGGGAAGCTAAGAAGTAATATATTTTTTAAAATATGCTTGCTCATGGGATGTGGGTACATGAGCTAGGCAAATATTTATGACTGATTCCTAAATAACCTTGAGAAGATGGTGATGAGCTGCTGCCTTGAACTGCTGATTTTGATCTAGCAATAGTGAACGTACGATGATATAGTTCCACGTCTGGGTGGCATGTGTGTTGATTTTGAACTTGATGGTATTCCAATGCAAATGCTGCTCATGTCCTAGATTTTAGAGGCTGCGGGTTGGAAGGTGCTGTTGGTGAGTTGTTGTAGTGCATCTTGTAAATGGTGTATCTTGCCAATGAACAATGGGTGAATGGAGAGAATGTTGAAGGTGATGAGTGGGGTGCTAACTAAGTGGGCTGTTTTGTCTTGGATTGTGTCAAACTTCTTAAATGTTATTCGAGCTGCATTCATCCAGGGAAGTGTGAACTATTCCCTTACACTCCTGACTTGTGTGTTGTACTTGGTGGGTGGGCTTTAGAACATAGAACATAGAACATTACAGCGCAGTACAGGCCCTTCGGCCCTCGATGTTGCGCCGACCTGTGAAACCAATCTGAAGCCCATCTAACCTAAACTATTCCATTATCATCCATATGTTTATCCAATGACCATTTAAATGCCCTTAAAGTGGGCGAGTCTACTATTTTTGCAGGCAGGGCATTCCACGCCCTTACTACTCTCTGAGTAAAGAACCTACCTCTGACATCTGTCCTATATCTATCACCCCTCAATTTAAAGCTATGTCCCCTCGTGCTAGCCATCACCATCCGAGGAAAAAGGCTCCCACTGTCCACCCTATCTAATCCTCTGATGATCTTGTATGTCTCTATCAAGTCACCTCTTAACCTTCTTCTCTCTAACGAAAACAGCCTCAAAACCCTCAGCCTTTCCTCATAAGACCTTTGGGGTGGCAGTAATTGAGTTACTTGCCACTAACTTCCTACCCTTTTGATCTCCTCTTGTGTAGTTGTTCCAGTTCAGTTTCTGATCAATGGTAACTCCCAGAATGATGATAATGGGTGATTCAGTGATTATAATCTAGTACAGATAGACAGACAAACAAATTCTTTTTTTCTGTTGGTGATAATTATTGCCTCGTACTGGTGCAGTTACAGATTTTACTTACCATTTACATTCCAAGCCTGAACCGCAGAACTGTAATCTTTTGAGTGATACAAAGCTATATTTTTCCGCTTAGAAAATTGATGCTTAATGACTGTGAGACAACAAAGTGCAGGGCTGGATGAACACAGCAGGCCAAGCAGCATCATAGGAGCAGAGAGGCTGACGTTTCGGGCCTCGACCCTTCATCACCTACTATCTCTGCTTAATGACTGTGATTTAGTTTTGTGATCAGAGAGATCTGTTTGATAAAATCATGTCTCTAGATACATTAACATTAAACTTTGATCCATCAGTTTTCTGTAATGAAAATCATATAGCTTTTATTCATGTTTCCAATGATTTTGAATGCTTAATACTTTGTTTTATCTATAGCGGAGCTTGGGGACTGTGAACCTCTGGAACATTCTCCAGAACTGGTGTCAGAATTCCGGTTTAATCCCAATCAAACTGAGGATATGGAGATAGATATTTTTGCACGGTGGAAGGATTGCAGGTAAGTTCCTGAAATAACAAAATCAAACTTTTAGGGAGACGTTATCTGAGGTCCTAAAATATCTATTTTCCTGTAGTTTCATGACAGATTAGAGAGAACAATACTTATAGCAAATGAGCCAGTGTGACTACAACAGTTGCATCATCTTTAATGCCATATCCTTGATTTTTGTCATGTGCCTTATGTGAGTGTTTAACAAGCCTTCTGAAAATTCAGATATGCAACATTCACCACATTCCCTATACTTGTGCACATGACTCCTCAAAAAAAATTAAACATGACTTGCTCTTTACAAATCCATGCTGATTATCTAATCCATACAATGACTTGCATTTATCTAGCACTTTTCCTGATCGCAGGATTTCCCAAATTTCATCACCATAATGAAATATTTTTGAAGTTGTAATGTCACAAGCACATCAAATTATGTAAAGCAATGTCCACATGTAGAAATAGATAAATGTTTTAGTGAGAGATAGTAGGAACTGCAGATGCTGGAAAATCTGAGACAACAAGGTGCAGAGCTGGATGAACACAGCAGGTTAAGCAGCATCATAGGAGCAGGAAGGCTGACGTTTCGGGCCTAGACCCTTCATCAGAAATGTTTTAGTGATGCTAGTTCATGAGATAAACATTAGCCAGAGCACCCTGGAGAACTTCTCATCAAAATAATGCTATGAGATCTTTGCATTGAACTAGCAGACAAAGTAGCTACTTGGTTAACATTTCCTTTGCAAGATTCACTTTTGACAGAGCAATACTTTTTAGAACTGAACTAGAGTGGCTGTTGTAATAATTATGCACTGAGATGGTTATCAATATTCATGGTCTTTAATTTCTTTGGTTTATCAATTTCCCCTTTGTTGAACTTCCACATGTCATTTCCTTGCCAGAAATCCCATTTCAAAAGACTTAAATATTTAACCTGTGGTTATTGACAATATGGTTTGTTACCTATCTCCTTCACTATGCATAAGATCAATATACAGTAGTTCATTGACTAGATGATAATTGGATGTTGTGTCCTGATTTGAAATTATATTGACATTTCATCACTGGCTCGAATGCTGGAGCTCCTTCCCTAATGTCATCGTGGGCCAACCTACAGCACATGGCTCGTATCCCATGAGTGAATTTTAAAAACATAATATTCAGAGAGTGAACAGACTCCAGGAAAATTTGACTTAATGGAGAGAATCACAGGATGACTTGAGAACTATGGAGCAATTCTGAGAAAACTAAGTGACTACGAATAAATGTGGACAGGACATAAGATAGTAATTTGTTTAGAAGTGCATGAAGCTAAACTTTGTGAAATACTTTGGAGATATACGAGGTAATACAGATGAATCTCCAAAGTATTCAGTTGTTCCAGAGGTGTGTAACAGAGAGAAGATCATAACTAGAGTGTTCATGTTGAAAACTATGCTGATGATTATAGATTTAGGGCAGAATTTTTATCATACATAATGCAAAAGCAGTAATTTCCATAACTTTAAAAAGTACCAATGTGAGGTTGCTAAGACAGTGATTTGTACTGTAAGGCAGAGGATTAATTTTCCTTTCAACAAAATAAAAATGAATAAATCTCTAAAATGCAGAATGTTGGATTGGGAAGAGGTAGGACAGGAATAATTCATACTCTCTATCTTTGGTAAATTTGGAGAATTACCATCAAGTATCAGGCTTATATTCATCGATATTTACAGCACAAAGAAGGCCATTCAGCCCATTGCTTCCATGCCAATCAACAAAGATCTAAGTACACTAATCCTATTTTCCAATTTTCGGCCCAATATGGTAATGCAAGTGAACATCTAACTACTGCTTAAATGTTATAAAAACCAAAAGAACTGTGAATGCTGTAAATCAGGAACAAAAGCAGAAATTGCTAGAAATGCTCATCAGGTCTGGCAGCATCTGAAGAAAAAATCAGAGTTAACTTTTCGGTCCAGATCTGAAACGTTAACTCTGATTTTTTCTTCACAGGTGCTGCCAGACCTGCTGAGCTTAAATATTATGAGAGTTTTGACTTTACTATCCTTTCAGGCTATGAGTCCCAGATTACCATCACCCTTTAGATGAAAATAATTGTTTTCAACTCTCTTCTTGGCCTTCTACCTCTTTTTCTTAAATCCTTGAGTTCTCGGCTAATGGAAAGAGTACCTTTCCATCTGCCCTTTCTATGCTACTCATAATCTTAAACACCTCCATCAGGTCCCCTCTCAATCTTCGCTATTTCAAGATAAACAACTCCAGTCTATCTAGTCTTTCCTTATAACTCAAAACCTCCAACCCAAGCAGTATCCTGATAAATCTCCTCTGCATCCCCTTCTAGTATAATTACATCCTTCCTATGATGTGGTGACCAGAATTGCAGTCCTTCAGTTGTGGCCTAATCAGTGTTTTATACAATTTCAGTATAACGCATTGCTGTCAACACCATAAGAAATAGAAACAGGAGTAGGTTGTTCTGCCCCTTGAGCCTGCTCCATCATTCAATAGGATCATGATTGATCCGACATTCCTCACTTCACTTTCCTGCCTTTTCCCTGTAACCCTTGATTCCCCGACTGATCAAGAATCTATTTATCTTGGCCTTAAGTATACACAACAACTAAACCCACAGCTCTCTGACAAGGAGTTCAAAAGACAGTCAACCCTCTGAGAGAAGAAATTACTCCTCATCTCAGTCTTAAATTGGCAACCCTCTGTTCTAAGACAGTGTGCCCGCTTATCTGAGCTCTCCTATGAGTGGAAACATCCTCTCAATATTTGCCCTTTAAGTCCTTAAAGAATCCCACATGTTTGAATGTGAGGCCCCTTCTAATTCCTCTAAATTCCAATGAGTAGAGTCTCAACTTGTTAGCTGTTGCTCAAAAGTCAATCCCCCCATATTGGGGATCATCCTAGTGAACCTTTGCTGAACTTCCACTGATGTAATAATATCTTCTTTAGATAAAGGGGCCAAAACTGCTCTCAGTACTCCAGACGTGTCCTCATCAGAACCTTGTACAGTTGCAGTAAGACTTTCCTCTCTCCTATTCCAACCCACTGGAAATAAGGGCCAACATTCAACATGCCTGATTACCTATTGCACCTGTGTAGTAGCTTTCTGTTTTGTGCACAAGTACCTCAGGTTCCTTTTGTGTTGCAGCTTTCTGCAGTTTTTCTTTCATTTATATAACACTCAGTTCTTTTGTTCTCCTTTCCAAATAAACAATGTCACATTCTCCCAAAATAATGTTGATTTCTCTGTCTCTTAACTTGCATTTCCACTTATTTCTGGCATCTGCAAATTTGGCTAAAGCATATTTGCCTCTTTCCTCCAAGTCATTAATATACTTTATAAACTGTTGTGGTCCCAGCACTGATTCCTCTGGAACTTCATTGGTCACAGGTCACCAACCTGAAAAATAATCTTTTATCCCCACTCACTGTTCCCTGTCCTTAAACAAATCTCTATCCATGCCAATATGCTACTTCTGGGACCATGGGCTCTTATGACTGACCCTTTTGTGAGGCACTTTTATCAAATACCTTCTGGAAGTTCAGATACAACACATTAGGTTCCCGTCTAACCAATCTGGTTGAGACTTCCTCAAAAACCCCAAATAAGTTAATCAGACACAATTTCCCTTTTATGAAGCTGTGCTGACTCTGCTTGATTTAGATTATGATCTTCCAGATGGGCTGCTTTCACTACTTATATTCTATGCCTACTCTAATAAAGTCAAGTATCCCATATGTCATCTTAACTATCCTATCTACCTCCTCTGCTATGTTCAGGAATCTTTGTTTATGCACACCAAGATCCCTCTCATCTCCAGTATTTTCCAGTGTTTCACCATTCATAGTGTAATTTCTTGCCTTGTTATCCTTCCAATTACCTTACACTTTTCTAGGTTGAATTCCATTTGCCACTGCTCTGCCCAGCTGACCAGTCTGTTGATATCCTCCTGCTTTCCACATTTAAGACAAATTTATGTACACCACAAAACGGAAGGGCGTCAGCACCCAGGCTGTTTGGAACGCCACTGAAAACAGACTTCCAGTCACAGAAACAGAAATCTGGAGTTTAAAGAATAAATAATCAGTGTGGGTAGCGCTGGAACATGTAACTTTTCCTTTAACCTAGAATATTGTTGCGTTCTAACATTGAATGCAAGTATTTTCATGACCGAGTAAACATTTTTGTCAGTGGTTCATCCAAGCCTGTACCTAACCTACCAGGTTAAAGTTATACAATTAGTGTCATAGCCTAGCAGTTCCATGTGATGAGTCTCTTAAAGGCCCTGCATACATCTCCAAAGTGAGTAATTTAATATAAATGTATTAGCATCAATAATTAAAATGCACAAAATGAAATGAAAGCTAGAAATAATCAGCAAACCAGGCAGCATCAGTGGAGCAGAACAATATGGTTAATATTTCTATCAACGATCTTTTGTCAGAACAAGCGCCAAATATTAGTCTTGCTGTAATTGATGAAAATCCTTTTCCCATAGTCTGAAAATAGTTGAGTTATAGTATAAACTGAGTTTCAAAACATATATTGTTTTTTAAGTAGTACTGTGCTCAACAAAAATGTTTAGTTATAAAGTAGCAGATTTCCAGTGCATTCAGCTGCAAATTGAGGATTTCTTTACATCCACCTCTAACTCATTGGATACTGAAATCAATATTTTTCTTTTTAATATCCTAACTCTTACTGACATTCATCCATCCCTTATCTGCTCATTGCTTTCTGGAAACCAATGTAAGTAATGCTTAAATTTAAAATTCTTATCCTTACTTTTTTAGTTGTTCCTCAGTCGCTTCTCTCCCTATCTCTGTAATCTCCCCTCCATAACCTTCCAAGATATCTGTGCTCCTCCAGCTCTGACCTCTTGAGCATCCCCAGTTTCCCCTGCTCCATCATTAATAGCTCTGCCTTTAGTTACCATGATCTTAACCTCAGGAATTATTTCCCTAAATATCTCTATGCATTTATCTCTTTCTTTGGTCACTCCTTGAAATTTCTTTTACCAAAGTTTAAGTCATCTGCTTTAATATCCCCTCATGTGGCTTAGTGTCCGATGTTGTTCAATAATACTGTTGAAAGGGATGCTTTACGACTTTACAGGCACTATATAAGTAGAAGCTGTTGTTGTAGTAATGTCACACAACCTCTTACTGTTGGCAAACATAGTGGCCTTCCCATGATGAACTATATTTTAAAAATGCAGTCATATAATCTGTCTCAAAATCCAAGTTGCATCTTCTCATGGTTCTTGTTACCATCTTCTTCAGACACTGTCAGTTTGGGTTGAAAAACTTGACAACTGTTACTAATGACAACTAGACATTTGCAGGAGCGAGCCAAAGCTGGTATTAATGACTGTATACAACAACTAGCTGTAAACTAGGGTTCATATAAAGTGCTTGTAATCAAGTGATTATTGAAATGTTCTTGAGATTTAAATCTATCTTGTCTTCCCTTTTGCTTGTGTTTCCACTGAACGAATGAGGGAAGTTTGCAATTGAATGTGGCACTGGGGTCCTGATGGAAAGTGTGAGATACTACAAATATAGAACAAAACAAATAGAAAAATCGAACAAATTTTGCTTAACACTTTGTGTAGTGGCTCATGAGGAATGTGTAATGAAAGTTTAAATTCTTCAGTTATGGCAAGGGTAGTCATTGTTCATATGATCGCAATTGAAATACTGACCAAACATGGGCGTCATTACTGACTTCATTTTCTCATTTTCATAGGGGGAAAAGCCCAGCACAAGCAGAACTATGTTATTTGAACAAAGCTAAATGGCTAGAAATGTATGGTGTGGATATGCACACTGTTAAGGTAATCTTAAAAAAAGTCTTTTCAAAAAAGTAATGATATTTATTTGTGGAGATAGTAAGAACTGCAGATGCTGGCGTCAGAGATAACAGTGTGGAGCTGGAGCAACACAGCAGGCCAGGCAGCATCAGTGAAGCAGGAAAGTTGACGTTTCGGGTTGGGACCTGAAATGTCAACTTTCCTGCTCCTCTGATCCTGTCTGGCCTGCTGTGTTCCTCCAGCTCCACAAAGTGTTATCTCTATATTTATTTGTGGATTGTCTTAACACATCTCTTCTGTCTTTCCTAGGGAAGAGATGGATATGAATATTCCCTTGGTTTGACACCAACAGGCATATTGATCTTTGAAGGATCAAACAAAATAGGCTTATTCTTTTGGTAAAGGATGTTATTTTTATCACATTTTACTATTTGAAAACAAAGTGCTAACAAATTGTTTAAGTTCTCTGACCACCTTCTTTATTATCATGCAGGCCCAAAATTACACAGCTGGATTTCAAAAAAAACAAATTAACACTTGTTGTTGTGGAGGATGATGAACAGGTATGTAGCACATCTTCTGGGCATCTTAAGCAGATGCAAGGAATACATAAGGCCACTGTTACTTCTGGCTTCTGACTTTGTTGAATCCAGCCCAGAGTCTGCTAATGTACAGCAGAACTAAAGATTTTCAAGGGCTTACCTTCATTTTCAGAGTCAATGGGTTACCACACAAAGTTGGTCTTTCAGTTATGGATCTGAAGCTACCAAATTCTCAAGGTGTATTTGTACCTTGTACAAATTAAGTTCTATATTAGCGCTTTCTTGGGTTCAGTGTTGCCACTTCAAAACTGTGTTTAGATTGATTTACAATCCTGTACCTTGTTGCTCAATAATATAATCTATGCATGTAATGAAAGTCCAGTCCTTTGTGATCTGGACTTGATGCTCATATATTCTACACATGTATTTCTTTTCTCCTTCTGTAGTTGGAATGAATGAATATTTGGTTAAACAAAGTCTGAATCTAACTGCTTTATTCCTCTCAAATCAAGACACAGAACTGTGCTCAGATCACTTATTTTCATGGGTGTTATTTGTTTAATCTAAAATAATGAACAACCTATACTCCTTCATTTGTTTGACATAAAATTTTCTAACTACTTATTCCTGCAACCGACCTTCCTTAGTCTTTTGATATCTGACTGCCTTTGTAGCATTTCCATTTTGAACAAAAGACAACTTATTTTTCTATTGTCTCAGCTTGTATCTTCTACCCTTTCACAAACAGGCAGATATTTAAAGACTTTTGAACATAATAGGCGGTAAGGTATTTTTTTGAATACCCAGACAAGCTATTGTGTGGTTTTATGATGAAACCAACCAAATTTTGTCTAAATACTTTTGTTTAAGCTTGAGAATATACTTTGCTTTCAAAAGTCAAAAACCATTGTATGGAGAAATGATCCAAAATTGTAAACTGTGACATCCTGTGAGATTGCTTCATGTTATTCCTAAACTGATTGTCACAATTACATGTTGAAGTGAATAAGATTCTAATTTTACTGATAGGCAGAAAATAATCTCATAGCTCAGTTGCTGGGAGCAGAGTTGGTGGCATGAGAGAACAAAGAACAAAGAAAATTACAGCACAGGAACAGGCCCTCCAAGCCTTCACCGACATGCTGCCCGTCACTACTAAAGCCCCCTACTCTTCCGGGACTGTATCCCTCTATTCCCATCTTATATATGTATTTGTCAAGAATGCCCTTTAAAAGTCGCTATAGTATCTGTTTCCACTACCTCCCCCGGCAGCAAGTTCCAGGCACCCACCACCCTCTCTGTAAAAAAAAAACTTGCCTCATACAGCACCTTTAAACTTTGCCCCTCGCACCTTAAACCTATGCCCCCTAGTAACTGACTCTTCCACTCTGACTTCCACCCTGAGAGCTTCACAAACAAACCAATAAATAATATTCAAAGGATCTATCGGCATTAAAGGCCTGGATTTTATAGTTAGCAGCAATCAGTGTGAGGTCATTGTTCACGCAATTACAATTGCCCACACAGCTCTTAGGGGCTTTTGCACTAAATAGACATTTTAAACAGTACAATAAATTGTATATTTGTTTAAAAATCCTTTCTAAGAAATGTAGTGTTTGAACCAGGATGTATAAATTAGAATTATTAATTCAATTCCAAATCATGACTAGAAAACAAAATACAAAGAAGAGAAAGAAGATGGGATTGTGAGAGAGATTAAAGAAAAATAAAACAAAATCTATTTAATTTTAAAAGAAAACTCCACTGAAAGCTACAATCTTAAAGAATAAGACCCTACAATTGCGCAGAGGTGGTGTTTGCATTGAATTAAGACTTACCATAACATTTTTTAAAAAAATTCTTTCCACTTTAATGGATCAGCCGTAACATTTCCTGGTTTGTTTAGGGTAGCTCAGTGGGTACTGGGGTATATTCCATGAATTTAATTCAGCGAATTTCTCCATGGGATACCATTGGAGTAAAGCTCCTGGTGGATCAGGTAAACAAGCAAATTTCTGATTTCCATGTTTAGTTGTGAAAAGTTGCTATTCAGTTTGCGTTTTAATACAGACTGCTCTTAGCCTCATTGTTATTTTTACTGCAATTTCCAGGCCAATGCATTTTATTTATTAGAAACAATATTTCATACAAAATACTATTTTTAACATGTGTCTCAATTTTTCCACCTCAATCAAAGGGTAGAGAGCAGGAGCACACATTTGTTTTCCGATTAGATAATTCCAAAGCATGTAAACATTTATGGAGATGTGCTGTGGAGAATCATGCATTTTTCAGACTACGAGCTCCTACTCAAAATAAAGAGGGACGATCAGATTTCATGCGTCTAGGATCTCGCTTTAGATTCAGGTATCACTGTTACACTTTAATTGTGTTTTGCTTATTTCTGCCTGTTTAAGTCCTAGTTATGTAACTGTATGCCAATATTTATTCCAGTGGTCGAACTGAATATGAAGCAACACATAAAAGTAGATTGCGCCGGACAAGTACATTTGAAAGGCGCCCAAGCAAACGCTATCCTTCACGACGACATTCCATGATTAAAGGTACTACTTGTCCCTTATAGATATTTTCTAACTTTCTTTTCAGCAAGTTGATGTGTGTTACCAGTACTGTTGGCACTGTCCATTTGTTGTTTTAGTGTCATGTGGATATGCACAATATAAAACTACAAATTTACCGAAGTGAGCTTCAAGTTCCTTTGAGATTCCCACGTGCACCGTTATGTTAACTTCCCATTTCCCATTTCTTGTGGTTAGGAAGTAAAATTTATAATTAATGTTTATCTGGAAGATGTTATAAACTCTTAGAGTTGGATTGAGACTACTTTCTTTATAAAGGGAAGGACTATTTCTTTTCCACATCAGTTTTCTTTCTTGGCTTCATTGCCTAAATTTATTTGGTTGGAAATTTGTTCAAGTATAACGAGAAAAGGTTATGTCAGTTCCCCTGAAACTTGTCACTACCTACTCAACTTGCAATATTAGCAAAGAAACCTATACAGGTAGCAATATGTAGTGCTTATGGACCCCATGAAGTGTCCATACAGAGCCATTTGAAATGTCATTTGGTGTCTCTTTACTTCATCTGTCAATTGTAAATATCCCACTCAGCACTCATTATGGGTTGAATTGATATTATATAGTGTCACCACCTGATGAGTAAACATACTGAATCATCAAAACAATCATGGACAGAGAGACGTTTATCCCATCACTTTGACTCACTAAATTAAGGAAGTAGGCATAAAGAGGCAGTATCTAATTCATTGCTGCCAATCACTCACCTTTAGTAGATTTTTCATGTTTTAACATTTCCTAAACTTGGACACCATGCATAGTTATCATTGTTTCTCACAAAGTTTTGCTGATGGTACTGACCATATGGTACTTGGTATTGATTTGTTTTTAAAAAATGTATTCCTTTGGTTGAATGGAAAACAAGAAATTATTTGTAATTTTATATTTTCCTTTTTTTTTAAAAAAATGTCAATTGGCCAGGTTTTCAATGCAGGAACGTTTTTAGTACATACTTGAAGTCTTCTTAAAATATATTTTGATCACTAAAAGAGAGCAATTTTATGTAAGAATATGCTGCAGAAACAAGAAACAAACTGAGTTTGACTTTACTTTCATAACTTCAGAAGTAGAATATTTAAGCATGTTGGGGAAGAAGAGAAGCCTGTTAAATGCAATAATTTGTTCATCTTTATAGGTCCAAATGCAGTGAAATATGGACACCCCAGGTTTGAATTACTTTTTTCTTCTTTAAGGTTAAATTGCCTAAAAATTTGCCAGATACCATTAAATCTTGACAGATTAGTACCCCCATTTTGCAGTAACTATTTATAATTTGCAAGAGTATCAAATCGGTTATACGTTTGAAGAGAAAAAAAGCAAGCAAAATTTAAACTGAAATGATCAATTATTGCATGCGTCTGAAAACCTTTTGGCACATAAAAGTATATGGAATTAAATAGAATTAGTACACATAACTTGCAAAAAGTTTTTGGTATGTTTATAGGTAGATTGATGCTGCTAATACAAAGTTAAAGTCAGAAGTCACACGACACCAGGTTATAGTCTAATGGGTTTATTTGAAATAACAAGCCTTTGGAGCACTGCAAAAGCTTGTGATTTAAAATAATTCTGTTGGACTATAACCTGGTGTCATGTGACTTCTGACTTTGTCCACCCCAGTCCAACACTGGCACCTCCACAACAATATAAAATTAGGTGAGACAATAGATTGTGAAGAGTATACAAAATGTTTGCAAAGATCCATCAGGTTAGGTTAGTGGAAAACAGGTGATAGATGGAGTATAATGTTCAGGACTATCAGGGTATTCACTTTGCTAAGAAGAATAGAAATGCTGTTTATTTTGTCTATAGCCAGGAATTTTAAAATGTTCATGTTCAAAGAGATTTGGGTGTTCTCATAAAGAAACACATAAAGTAAACCCGTAGGTACAATCAGTAGTTAAGGCTAATGATATGTTGACCTTTATTGTAAGGGGTTTAGAATGCAAGAGTAAAAAAGACTTAAGACAGTTACTTAGTATTTTGAGGGATGTACAAACCATTAGTTCCAATCAGGCAATGCCTGTGTTTATTTTCCACTCGACCCACCTCCTACTTCTCTTCATCCTGTTACTTTCTTCCTGAAATGCTTATCTAGTTTCTGCTTAAACACATCAGTACTATTAATTTCAACCAGTACCTGTGGTAGTGAGTTCACAGTCTTATCTCAAAGATAAGGATTTGATTCATTAACTCGGTTTTTGTTCCACAGATACCGTCAGACCTGCTGAGTTTTTCCAGCAATTTCTGTTTTTGTTATTCTTTATTATGTGGCATGTTATTGAGGGCCTTTTGAATATTCAAATAAATTACATCTACTGCATTAACATTGTTTTGACAAAGTAATAGTAGACATTCGGTAAGCTTGGTTGAGCAAAATTTTTCCTTTTATTGCTGATTATTCGTTGTTCTTTTCTTACCTCTAGATGTTCTTCTATTCATTATTTAGTAAGGATTCAATTATCTTTTCTTCCACCAAAGTAATTACAAAATTCCTTGGGCATGTTTTGCCCTTTTCTCAGATATCAGAAGTACATAAGCTACTTGCAAGTCCTTTCTTTTTCTAACTTTTTTTTGATTAATAAATATGAATGGCAATACTTCTGTTATCTCTTTGCCACATAAAATTCATGGATGCAATCCATGCAGGGTAGGTTCCTAGTCTCATTGAATTTCTTTAGTTTGTTCATTGTATCCCCTCTCTCTCGCACTTATTGCTCATTTCATTATTCACTGTCTATTTATCCCGTCTCCCTATCTGCATGCTCTCTATCCTTGCCTGTGGTTTATCCTGTTCATCCCTTGATGCTCCTGTTTTCATGACAGCCATCTTTTTATTGATGTGGCTGCAAAATATTTTACTATTTTGTTTCATTTTTTATGATAATTTAATATCATTGCTCTTCATTGTCTTCCTGATTTTTTTTTACTTCTCTTCTTGTCTACTCCTCTGCTGCCTATGAAGTTAAGATATACCTCATTCCAGACCTTCAATTGTTCCTTCATTCACCCATGAAGTCACAATTTGTTCTTTCATTTAAGCAGAATATATTTTCCTTGAAACTGTTCAACATTATTTCAACGTTTACATAATTGTTCTACGTCATTGTTTTGCATATTTTGTTACTCATTTTAATTTTATAACTTCTGTTCACAGCCCTGCCAAAATCAGCTTTCCTGCAATCTCTTAACTGGGTCTTAATCATACAAACTTATACCATGGTCATGATTACTTCATTGTCTCCTTTTACTTCTCCTATCTGCTTTGGTCTGTTTTCCTTTGATAAATTCAAAGGCAAATCTTTCCTTTTTGGGCTTGTTAAGTATTGGGTTAGAAATGAGTTTTGTACATGTAGTAGCAACTCTATTCTCTTATCCACTTTACATAACTTGTCGGCCAATTAATATCAGGTTAGATAAAACATGCCATGAATAAAAATAACACACGAAGCAATGACCAATTCTCTAACTTACCTGTATGTTTCCTTCTCTGCCTCCCTTCCACTGTAAAATGCTCTGTAGATCATATCTATTAGTCTGAGTGATCCTTTGTTGTCTTGTTTCTCTATAAATACAGATTCAATTTTTGTCCTACTGATAGCTGCTTTTTTTTCTACTGCCATTATGTTATCACAAGTAGGTACAACTACTCCATCTCTGTTCTCCTTCGATTTATCTAAATATACCCTGAAATATTTAAACTCCAGTCTTTGTTTTTCTGTAGCCATGTCTCAGTAATCCCTATTATATCTAGTTCCTTGTGTTTCATGATTGCCTATCACCCCATTTTTATTACAGATACTGTGCATTGCGAACAGCATTTTAACTCATTTTTAGTAGGGTTTCCTTTCACTGTCAGCCTGGATTTATGTTGAGTCTGGATGGCTTTTGAACTCTTGAGAGGATCTTTCCAGGATGTGGGCTAATCGGATTTCAGTCTTTCACTACAACTCTTGAACTAGCCGGCTGCATTGTGGAGATGGACATTGTGTACTACTCTGTGCTTTTCATGGAGTCAATCCAACTTTGTAAGGAGCTGTGGTTCCCTGAATGTTAGAAGGGTTGCAAACCACAGTCTGCATGAGGAAAGCTTTGAGAGGCTCATTCAAAAGCTCCTCAGCATCTTATGTAAGGCTGTATCCGGCCTGGCACTCTGCCTTTGTTTAATCACCTTTTTAGACTTTAGCTCCATAACTTCCCTTGCCAGCAATGTTCCTATCTGACTTTGTCTCTTTCTATGTTTTCTGCCCTTGTTTACGTATAGAGTGCCTTCATTTCTTGTAGATGTTAGAGTTTGAATAGGGTTTTGGTGAGACCACGCCTCAAGCTCCTTGCACAGTTTTGGTCTCCATTTTTCGTGAAGTACAGTAAAGGTTCTCCACATTGATTCCTGATTTGAGAACGTTTTCCTGTGATGAGAGGCTGAATAAATTTTGCTTATACTGTCTGGAATTTGAGTATAAGGTTATCACATTTGAACATCCAAGATTCTGAAAGGGATGGACAGCATAGACACTGAGAAATTGTTTCCCCTGTCTAGAGAATCTAGAATAAGGGGCACAGTCTGAGTCCTAGGAATGAAAGGTTTGTCATATGAGGAGCACTTAAGGACTCTGGGTTTGTATTAGAAGGATGAAGTGGGCACCACATTGAAACTTACAAAATACTGAGAGGCCTGGCATGAGTGGACATGGAGCAGATGTTTCCAATAGTAGGAGAAATTAGGACCCAAGGACACAGCCTTGGAGTGAAGGGGCGACCTTTTAGATGAGGAGGAATTTCTTCAACCAGAGGGTGGTGAATCTTTGGAACTCATTGCCGCAGAGGTTAATGAGTGTCTTTCAGAAGGAAATAGATAAGTTCTTGATTAGTAAAGGTAACAAGGGTTATGGGGAGGTGGCAGGAGAGTGGGGTTGAGAAACATATCAGACATGATATGGTGAAGCAAGTTGGATGAGCCAAATGGCCTAATTCTGCACCTATATCTTGTTGTCAGGTAACTTGAGGATAAACGCCTTTATTGGAGGTTATGAATATTTGGAATTCTCTCCCATGGATGATGTTGATGTTCCTTTAGTGAATATGTTCAACACTGGAATAGATGGATTTTTGTTTTCTTGGCAACTGAGGGATATGCAGAGTGAACAAAAAGTGGAGTTCCAGCAGAATTGACTGGCAGGGCAGGCTCGAGGGCCACATGATCTATTCCTTCTGTTTCTATTGGTTTAATTTACAGTGCCCAATGGAAGTGGTACTGCGGTTCAAAAGCTAATATAGACTAGAATTTATGTACAGAACATCAGAAAAGAGCTTAAATATAAGGCTTTTCAATAGTTTGGTAATCTACACTTTAATATGGTGCTAGTTTGATCAACATATCAGAAAAACCACACACTGATCAGGATGGTTACAAGATAGAATAGCTAAACGGATTCCAGTGAGATATGGTTTTGTTGAAAGATCAGAGAATTTATAGTTCACAGTCTGGGGTGAATTTGTTGAAATGAAATCTTTCACTATCTTGTGGCGGTAAAGCGGCACGGTGGCTCAGTGGTTAGCACTGCTGCCTCACAGGGCCAGGGCCCAGGTTCGATTCCAGCCTCGGGTGACTGTCTGTGTGGAGTTTGCACATTCGCCCCGTGTCCGCGTGGGTTTACTCTGGATACTCCGGTTTCCTCCCACAGTCCAAAGATGTGCAGGCTAGGTGGATTGGCCATGCTAAATTGCCCGTAATATTGAGGGATGTGTAGATTAGGTGGGTTATAGTGGGGTGGGTCTGGGTGGGATACTCTGAGGGTCGGAGTGGACTTGTTGGGCCGAAGGGCCTGTTTCCACACTGTAGGGATTCTATGATTCTATGAACTCGATGTGGCCAATAAAGAAAAATGCAAGTATTGAAAGACAAACAAGTATTTAAAGCTCCTACATTGAGTTGCTTATGTGATAAAGAAGATTATTTGTAATCTGTTTCCGTTTACCTATCATTTAGTAACATTTTAACATTTCCTATAAATTTAAAAATCTAAACCAATTAGCATCAGGAAAATTCTTTTGTGGAAATTAATTCTGATAGTACATAGTTCCACAGTACTATGGTTTTATTTTATTGACTTGCAGGGCATGGGTGGCGCTGGCTGGCCAGCATCTATTGCCCGTGAGAAGGTGGTGGTGAGCTGCCTTCTTGGACCACTGCAGTTTGCCTGTAGTTTTGATGAGAAGGTGCCAGTGTTGGACTGGGGTGGATAAAGTCAGAAGTCACATGACACCATGTTATAGTCCAACAGGTTTATTTGAAATCACAAGTTTTCTAAGCACTGCCCCTGAAGTCCTTATGAAGGGACAATGCTCCGGAAAGCTTGTGATTTCAAGTAAACTTGTTGGTCTGTAACCTGGTGTCATGTGACTTCTGACCATGTGAAGGTTGACCCACAATGTCCTTAAGGAATTCTAGGATTTTGACCCAATGACAGTGAAGGAACAGCAATATATTTCCAGTAAAGATAGGCTGTCTATTTCCAGCACTTTTCATTTTTATTTTAAATTATTAGAATTAGTTTTGTTTTCATGCTTTTATTCACTGAATCTATTTTCTTTTTCATCAGTTCACAGAACAGTGCAGGAATGTGTGGATACCAGGTAAAGTTAGCATTACTGTATATGTTGCTAATAACTAGTTCATTTGTTTTCGTATAAACTATTTAGTTTTAAGAATTAAAGATTTATTGTAAATAAAAAGATAAATACAACTGAAGCACTGGGAAAACTATTATACATAAGAGGTTGCGGATCATGTTGCTTTGAGATTAGTGTTGTTAAATGAATCTGTACTGCATCTCACCTTGAAATCTATCTGACATATTTGCTGTCACCATCCTCTTTCTCGGTAAGGATCTAAATAGCCTGCTTGGTCTGTTGTGGAAGAGGAAAACCACTTGACGATCTAAGAGGAAGTGACTCATGTCTTAAGGAAGAGGCAGTTTATTTCATGAAAGCAATTAGGTACAAGTTACATTGATATGATAGACATTGTGACTGAGACTAGATTTGATGCTATATCTTACTTCTTCATGATCCAGAACTGTTCCACCAGACAAGTCTGTGTGAAATTACATTGAGCAGTGCTTAATGCATTAATTCTTTCAGACCCTGACACCCTTTTATGACATTTCCCCTCGCACATTTCTTGCACTATTATCGTAACACTTTTGTGTATGTAATTACATTTAACCCTAGCCATCTCCACCCAAGTCTCTGACCTTTCAAATTCCAGCATCTGAAGGTTTCACTGTTCTCAGATTTGGAAGATTGATAGGTCTCTGAGTTAAATACGCTTCACTTTAATTCTGTTCTTGACAATGTAAGGTCTGTGAGCCCTGTTAAAACTAGAGAGCCTTATCTCTTGGATTTCCTTTGCTGAAATTGTCATTCTGCTGAAACAAGCAATTGATGAATTCTAATATCTGCAGAACCTTTTAAATTCATGAACTTGCTTTGCAGAGGACACTTGTCCTTTTAGAACATATGCTTTATTTATTGTAATATTTTGAATTTCTGGACCAGGCACTTATATTTTATTTTTGGCATGACCCTGTATCTCCAAACCAGGCTGTTACAGTATCCTGGATTCTCTGAGCCAGGCAATTTCTTCTTGAATGTGGTGCAAAGCTGTGGACATTGTTCATCTCATTCTCAGCGGCAGTGACCTTGGAGGTGTTTGTACCATGTCCTCAATCTGTGAGAGCAGGTTTTTATTCTTAAATTTCTCTTGAAGTGTGTAGACTCTTTATTTCAACTTGTTCATTAGGTTGGATGTTTTCCTTTACCTACAATGATTAAATTGCTTGTAAAACCAATGTGTTCATTCTCAATTGTACCACTTGACAATCGCTTCAGATTTGGGATGATTTCAGTCATTAGTACTGATATTTCTTCCTGAGAAGATATAGGGATTAAGTGTCTTGCTTGAACATGTCTTCTCATCGTCTGACATCAAACTCAAGTCTATTATTGCTCTCTGTTTACCAAATTATATTGCTGTCTGAATTACATCAATTGAGAATTTGCCAATGAGTTCAAGTGATGTATACTGCTCATTTGCTGTCTAGCCATTTGCATTTCTTTGCAAACTTCACTAATTATTGCAGTCTGAATTCTCATCAGTGATAATTGGATTGGAAAACATTTTCTGCCAGCTCTGTAGAGTCAATTTCCATCCTGCTGACGTTACGTGAAGAAATAAGTTTATTATGTCAACATAGCTAATCCCAATGGATTCTGTCTTCTGTTTAGATTCCATCCTGAATCTATGAAGCCCTGTGGAATCTTTTACCAGCTGTCCCTTGACTAGTAACCAAAGTTTCTATATCTTATTCTCTGGTACTTCCTTAAACAGATGTTGATAACTGACTGTTGCTTGAAAGGTAGTTTCTTGATATTAACTAGTTTGTCACCTTCTGTGCCAGTTGCTGAAAATTCAGGTCAAAACATATATTCATGCTCAAGAATGATGAGTCTTATTTGTGAAATATGTGCAAGGTCTTTAATATCTGACCCCACTTGTGTTGGAAGGTTGTTTGTAGTATACCGTTAATCTGAAGTGCTATTCCTTCATGGACCATAGATTGTAGGAAAGACCAGGGCCACTCAGCTCATTCAGTCTGCTCTGCCATTCAGAAATATCATGGCTGATCTGATCATTCTCAATTGCACTTTCCCGCCTTTCCCCTACTTGATTCCCTTAACTGATTAAAAATTCATGTCAACCTTGGATATGCTCAACTGCCCCCTATGGTAAAGAATTCCACAGATTCACTACCCTCTGAACAAACAAATTCTTCCTCATCTCTGTCCTTTGTGGGTCGCCTCTTAATCTGAGACTGTGCCCTCTGGTCCTAGACTTTCCGATAAAGGGAAGCTATCTTTCTGCATCTACCCTGTCAATTTAAATCTTCTATGTTTCAACAAGTTCGCTGCTGATTCTTCTGAACTCCAAATGAGTACAGGTCCAACCTATTCAACCTCTCCTCTTAAGACACTCCCTCCATATCAGAATCAACCTAGTAAATCTTCTCTGGACGGGGTCCAATGTGAGTATATCTTTCCTTAGATAAAGAACACAAAACTATTCATACTATTACTACTGTGGTTGACCTTGTATAGGTTTAGTAAGACCTCCCTACCTTAATACTCCATTCCCTTTGAAACAAAAGCAATTTCATTTGCCTTCCCTAATATGTGCTGAACTTGTACACTAACTTTTTGTAATTTATAATTGAGGATTTCCAAATCAGTCTGTAGTTTTTCATCATTTAAGTAATCAGCTCCTGCATTTTGCTTGGCAAATTGCATAACCATATATTTTCCCATATTGTATTTCATCTGGTAAGTTTTTGCCCCCTCATTTTACCTGTTTATATCCCTCTGCAGACTGTGTCCATCTAGTTGCACTACTGTAGGCTGTATAAAGTGTTTCAACTATGTATAGTACCTGATAATATATTGTATCAAACTTAAAATTGGTAAGATGCCCATTCAGAAATAATTCCTTGCCAAAAGGCTAGATCTGGGTAACCTATTTCCTCCAGGACTACCTTTGACTCTTCTTCTAATGTGGGCTGTTGTAGTTCATTAAGCTTGTTAAGTGGCTGTTTGGTGTCTCACTGTTCTGTGATTTTGGGTGGAATTTTCCATTCCCTTGAGTGATGTGAGCAATGGCAAGAAATGTTGAAAATACTCCAAAAATGAAAACATTAGAATCTCTATTGAGGAAATATGTCCAGATTTCCCCTCAAAGTTTAAACCACGAGTTCAGAATTTTGTGAATGATCAGCAGTAGCTCTTGCATCTCATTAATAGGCCAACTTGGATCATTTTTATCCAGCTTCCAATTCTCCTCTCTCCTTTCTGAGAAGCTATATGGTGAAATTCCTGACATAAAAGTCAACATAGTTGTACCTGGTGAGAACAGCTCACTGCTTGTTTCTTGGGACCTTCATCTAACTCTGTCTTCATCATAATGTCTCCGCGGACTCCATCCTCCTCCACTCTTCATCCAAGTAACTTGGAAATGGAAAATTATCAGCCTCCCTGCATTGTATCATGTTTGCTCTTGCACTGACTCCCGCGCCATTCAGGACTTAACTTTGAAGCTCAGGGACAAGTTGCATGCTTCTGTCACATTGCTTAATCTTGAAGGAGATGCATACCCCATTTGCCTATGCAGACTGCATCTCACAGTTTTTATCTTCATTACTGAGCACTCACTCACTTCCTGACAACTTAGAGAATGCTAGCCTCTGTGTTTTCCTGTTTATTAGTGTATAGGGAGAGTAGACAGCTTGTTAATGACTTGGAGAACTGACCAGGCAAGGTGGTGCTTTGCACCATGCTATTTCAGTATTACACCAACAACATATAGCAGCAGCTTCAACCAAATGGCCATGTCTGAAAGTCAAAGGGAACCAGTCTAAGCATTCTTTTTAAATAACTGGACACTGCTTGTGCCTTGCTCCTTAGCATTGACACTGACATTTAGTGTCTGATGTCTGTCTCTAACACATTACTAATTTCCCACTTGTTGCTTTAGAATTTTTGCATCTTATGAACTAAAAGGATTCTGTGGATCTCCTCTGATAAAGTTCACCTTCTCATCTTAGAATTAATGTGTATTGGTTCCAGCCAGCTGCTTCACTCAACATCTGAATGGCTTTCCATTCTAATCTTTTGATTATAAAAAATCTGACAAGGACTCATTAGCAATTCCAACAACAAATTTGTCTGTTATGAATTTTAACTTTAGAGCTCTATAGTCTCATTTGCCATTAGTCTGTAGAAATCATTAATTAAATTGTTTATGGATTCGCTTTATTGGATTCTTTAGTTAAATCTTGTTCTTTTGTACAAACATGAACATGTTGTATATATGAACAAGCATACCAGGAGTAAGAGTAAGCCATTCAGCCCCTAAACCCTGCTTTGCCATTCAGTAAGTTCATGGCTAATCTGATTGTAACCTCAAACCTGCATTTGCAACTACCCTGATAATCTTTCACCCACGTGCTTCACAAGAATCTTTTTATCTCGGCCCTCAAAAATATACAAGGACTCTGCTTCCACCACCATTTCAGGAATTCCAAAGACTCGCCTCCCTTGAGAACTTTTTCCTAGTTCTGGATTCTTCCATTAGTGAGCGCATCCTATTCACATCCGCCCTGTTGAGTCACCTCAGCATCTTCAATCTGTTTCAATCCTGTTACCTCTTACTTTACTTTATTCCAATGCTTTCCCTTTTAATTTCTGATAATTCCCAAATTCTTTGTGACTTTTCTTAATGAATGCTGCTGTTCACGACTTCAATAAACAATTCCTGTTTCCTTAATAGCTTTAGCAAATGAATCACACTGCTTGTGGCTTTAATAAACTACTTCAGTCTCCTTAACAACTTTACTATATGTATCCTGCACTTCTAGGTTCTACAAGATGAATCCTGCTCCTTTAATGGATTTCTCTCGATGATTCCTGCTGTCTGTAGCCCTAATAATAATCTCAATTTTGCTTCACTTATTTTGTGGATGAATCTTGCTTTATGCTGTTTAACTAAATACTTCCCACAATCACTTTTTAATTGATCTCCCACTTTTTCTGCAGCCTCTAATATCTCCTAACTTGCTTCATCTGATTGATTTTTGTCTACGTAGTCTTCTAATTTGTCTCTTTAATTCTGGTTATGCAGTGCAAGTAGCCTGAATGGCCTCTTTCTGTGCCATCAATTTTCTATAGTTTGCAATGTTCCTGGGTCTGCAACCTCATTGTAAATTAGTTCTGATTTCTCTGTGACTCATGGTGCCCACTTGTTGTGGCAGCATTGTTTGATTTGAGCTGGCTGCTATGTTTATTTGTATCTTTCCACCTGTTTTTAAGAGGTATTTACTTGCCCACTGAAGATTTGAACTTTATGCAAGCAGCCTCTGATGTCCATTCCTATTCAGACTGAGTCTTGATGAGGGACTGCTTCTACAATTCAGTGCCTGGTGCAATCTAGTATAAGCAGGCACTCCAGCTCCATGGAGTTCCTCACTCATTCTTGCTGCTGCATGTACCTTACGTAGTCTGAAATGTTTTTATCGTTGACTGGAGGTTGGCTTGTAAAATCTTGCCACAAGGCTGTCTTCGATGGTTTTCTCAAATGTTCAGCTCTTCCACTACTACCTTCTGCACCGGCAGCCACCTCAAAGCTGTGACTGAGAAAAAACCTTCAGACATTCACTGCTGCTGATGTTGTGAGAGGCTGCAAAATGCTGTCTTCACTGTTTGCCATTAAATTGTAAGACATATCTTTGCCAGAATAGATTTTGTGCCTTAAGCAAGATGTAGCTTGTTCCTTATAGGTACTACATACAAGTTATGTCAGGATGATGGATGTTGCTGAGACTGAGGGAGAGATTGATACTAAGTCTTACTTTCTGAGATCCAAAGCTGCTCCACCACCTGAGTCCTATTGCTCGATATACTCTTCCGCATTAACCCTTTAAGACCGTATGCACTTAGACAGCAATTAATAGATGAAAATGTCGGATCAGAAACAGCAGGTGAACTTGCTAAGTTGGAGTTCTGATTTTTTGCGGTAATGATAGAGTTTGTTTTGGGACTTAAAAATAACTTAATTGAAAGCATATGATGAACTCTTAAATAGTGTACAGTCCATTTACTTTATCATTTCGAAGATTAAATTATAAATGAAGGATACTAAATCTAAGAGTCAGGTCAAGGATATTCGGAGCAGCTGCATTGCCTTAGAGAGATGGGTCATGCTTAAAAATCTTCTGTGGCTTCAATTTACCTGGATGTGTGTTTTTCCTTAAAGAAGTTATTGGCAGTTTGAAGCTGGAAGAGAGTGTGAAACTGAAGGAACAGTTAGAGGAGTTCCAGGGATTGATGGCTTTGCGCTGTAGAAAAAAGTTGTGCCTAAAAAGACCTGCAAGCAATTGGTAATTCAGTACAGCGGGCAGCACAGTGGCTCAGTGGTTGGGACTACTGCCTCACAGCGCCAGGGACTCCAGTTCGATTCTACCCTCAGGGGACTGCCGGTGTGGAGTTTGCACATTCTCAGCACGTCTGTATGAGTTTCTGCCAGGTGCTCCAGTTTCCTGCAACAGTGCAAAGATGTGCAAATTAGGTGGACTGGCCATGCTAAACTGCCTATAGTGTTCAGGGATGTGTAGGTTAGGTGTGTTAGCCATGGTAAATGCAGGGTTACAGGGATAAGGGATGAGGTTGCGTGGGATGGTCTTCAGAGGGTTGATGTGGACTTGTTAGGCCGAATGGCCTGTTTCCACACTGTAGGGATTCTAAGAGAGTGGGGTGAAGGAAGCCCACAAGCAATATTTGTTGGATGCGGCTTAGAAACATTGGAGCTTAGAGAAATTTAGTGGCAGCTTAATGAAGCTCAGTGCTTGATATAAGCTGAAGTAATGCTGGTACTTAGGCATTTGGGAGCAGTTTCAGAAATCTGGCAACATGATCTTAGGAGGAGATTGAACTATCATGAAATGAATGGTTTTTAAGGCAGCCTGAGTCGGAAAGGCTAATTGGGCATTCCAAGCCTGGATCTTTAAAGTGAACATTTGGTATTCCACACAAAAGGGATAGCATTTTCATGACATTTGGTACTTTACAGTGTCACTAACATTTGCAGTTAAGACAGATCTGTTCCATTGACCATTTAAAAGTGCAGTCTATGGGCTGTTTGACTGTAATTTGTCTGTTAATCCACATTTACCTCATACTGATCCTGAATGCAAAATCTAAGTAGTATATATGTAGTGCATGTGTGTTAGAATCATTACCTTGCCTATTCAGTATACCTATTTAATTATTATCAATTGTGTTTGTTTTGTTAAAGGTTGTAACATAAGATGTTTTGTATTTCAATTCAATGCTGGAATCTTGCCTTTTTTTACCCTTGATTCTTCCATGCATTCTTCTTTTTCAAAGATTATGGTCTATCATGTGAGATCCTAACTGATATTTGGCTTGTCAAGTATTATAATAAAAATGATGAGTAAATACAATACACTAGCTATCATACAATTTAAAGTTGGTAGACTGGAAACATCAGTAATTTTTCTCTTTATTGACTTTTAGACTCCATATATGTGCAACATACCCCCTGTGCAACAACACTGGCATTCCAGTAATGTTAGGTAAGATGGTTCGATATCTTAAAGATTACATAGTAAATGTTTTGAATTTTAAATTTATTAATAGTTTACATAACCCAGATCATCAGTTGAATCAGCTGCTTGGGTGTGCAATGTATCAGAATTATTTGAAATAAAGTGAACTAATGTTTAAGCATGATGGTTTTCTAAAGTGATAGGCAGGGGAAAAACAAAGTTCAACTTGTATTTAATGCCTTCTTGGGTTAAATTAATTAATTAATACTTATTGAATTATCGTTCCTTCCAAGCTACCAGTCCTAAATATATTGCACACCAAAGAACAACAATAATTAAATAATTAAAATACCAGTTTAACATTAATAGACCAAGCCTTTCCTTTTTACTGTTGAATATGGTTTATTGATGGATTACTTTCTTTTCTTGATAAATTTATTTTACTTAAGAATGTTCCTTTTGTTTTTAAAACAAAAAATCGGGTATTCTGTTGCTGAAGACCATCCCTGCTGTACTGCTATTCACAATCACAAGGTGGAGGGTGATTTCAGTTTCTGTGGTCTGTTACTGAAAATTGTCTGGTGGAGGGAAATATGTGGTAGAGTACTTTCATTTAATTTTAAAACCATCCTTCCTAATGGCTCAATTATGGTGTGTGCATTTGTGTTAGTGTCACTAGCATTACTTGTTGAATTTGTGAGTTTGATATTTAACTAAACATTTTACTATCGTAAATCACTTTTCAACTCTTGATCTTAAAGTTTACCATGGTCTGTAAAGCTATCCCAAAGAGAGGAGATATGACACAATAAATATCTTGTAGCCTTTTGGATAATTTATCAGGCCTTAAAGAATAAAAAGGTTTTGTGTTCAAAGGAAGCAGTATGTGTGGAATTTATCAGCATTTCAAGCCTTTGGGAAGGAATTCTGCATGTCCCTGCATGTGCTGGAAAGTTAGTTTGTAGAGCACTACAGTAACTTCATTCTACAAATTCCTCAGTGCATGACATTGCAATCATACGCCTTGCTACTTTCATTTGGAATGATTTGATAGCAATGATGACCATGTCACTAGTTTTGTTGAAACGATAGAAGATATGTTTAACCATCATTTCCCGTTATATGTAACCCTGTCTTTTTCACTGTTTCCCCCTCTATCTCTCTCCTCCCTCCAACCCTACCATGCATGCATTTACAATTGTTCAGTAACCATGACTTGATATCCATATGTTATGTAAAGTCTCATCTCACTAACTGCTCGCTGTGCACATGGTACAGGCCATCGCCCAATGATGACAGGCACAAATATTACAACCGGACACCATCGCAGGAAGGAAATGGCAGAAACGCAAGATATGTTCAAGAGCAAAATATGAAGAACATGGGAGGCAGGAAACATAGTGTTGACCAAGATAAACTCATGACTACACTTTGAAAAGAATGGGAAAACGTTCATTATTTCCTCTGATCTTTGAACCCCTTTCCATTCATGTTGCAATCCAGATTGACTCATGAAGAAAAACTATTAGGGGGGCTAAAGTAATCTGGGAAACTGCATTTTTAAAAACAACTTTATGTACAGTTTTCTCTAGTCATCTCTTCATGCTTTAAAGATGCCAATTACATTGCAATATTTTTCAATATATCTGTGAACCATTTACAAAACAAACTTAGGTTTGTTGAATTTTCTTTTATACATATGCATCATACAGGGTTAATACATTGATATTTGCAAAGTAGCAATGGCAGATCGTCTACTAGGAAAAGACATTTGAGCAGGACGAGTATTTAACATGTTGAAATATCCTTGGAGTGATGAGAGCTTACGCTTTGTAAAATGTTATGATGATACAAGGAGCATCGTTGGGTTCAAATCATTCTACAAAATAGTGCTTAGAGTATCCAGATGTACTTTTCAAGTGTTCTGCTTTGTGTCTAGAAAATTTTATTTAAAAATGCACATTGAGACCTCAATATTTCTTGCTTTCGCACTGTTCTGTAAATAAGTAAATCAGAAAGCATATATCTTGGTAAAATGGTGTGAACTGTGACTTGCTATTTTATTAAGAGATTAATGCTGAAATAGGGATGTGTCCATTAGTTAAAATGTTTTTAGAAATTTTCTTAAACATTTTATCCATCTTACTTTCCACTCTTCTTCTGAGCTCTTGCTGTGTCATGTACTTACAACTGTAAGGATGTCTAATGGGAGGAATCTGCGATTCACCTCTTTGCCAGTACTGTTTTGCCACCAGTTGGCAGTAGAAGAGCATGAGAAGATCCAGAATGACTTAAGATATGAAAAATATATCATTTCTGGCTCCTCAATGATTGCAAGAGCAAACATATCTCAGTAGTGGTAACAGACGACGTGATTCCAAATACAACCTATATTGTGTAAACTGATCTCAGCCTAAGATGTTGCAGTGCACTATCATTAGACTGGATGTCCTCCCACCATTCCCCAACCCCCAACTCCCTGAGCAATTCCAATTCGTGCTCATTATGCACTGACCTTTGCTACAGGCACAGGCAGAGATGGATTTAAGAGGAATTAGTGATTTCTGTTTGTTTCCTGCTGATATGTGCTGCACAGACTGATGTGAAGAATAGTCATGTGTGCAGCTGCTCCGATGTTAGCTTATGCAAAACTATTGTGTCATGAGCCACCATGTGCAGGAAGAGAAAATAGTATTTGGCGCAACACTGAGGAAAGGAAAAAAAAACAATATTATTTACGCAAGGAAATACACAATTCTAATGTGTTTTATTGGAGCAGTGGAGATTTGGGACTGATTATGTGGAGAATTAAGAGTGCAAGCCTGAATATTAGTACTCAATCACACAATGCTTTATAGATCCAGTCTTCTATGTTGCTTGAATTAAAAATGAATGAACAGAACTTTTAAGCTAAAAATCAGTTCAGCTGCTGAGTGTAATCTAGTACTAATCTTGTGCCTGATCCAATCATCTTTCAGTTCATTCCCAGAATAAATAAGCACTGAATTATATTCTTAATCATTTTGATGCGAATTTGTTGCTGGATGCACATTTGAAGAAACAAGAAAAATTTTGGTGACTTAAGATATCTTGTTCATTTTGTTGCAATCAAGTAGAATATTGAGTTGCAAAACCATTTGGCATTTGTATTTCCAAAAGGACCTCGTTCAACTATGTTATTAGCTATCTTTATACTTGCTGAAGCAAATAGGAATTCCATAAAGTGCAAAATCAAGTAAGCTGATTTGCCCAAGAGCATGGTAATTAAAAATACCAAGTCATTTTAATGTAACAGACAAAAGAAGACCTGTCCTTTGTTAAAGGGTACATTTTCCAAGCTTTTTAATTTCTATATGGGAGTGTTTATACTGACTTAAAGGAAAATTGCATACAAGCTATGCTAAGCACTTGAGCTACATTTTTTCTTTATAAAGGCATTTCTCTAAAGTTTTAAATAATATTTTCTTCCCTTCTATCATTACACATAGTTTTATTCTACGTGACGATCATTTGGTGAGCAATTTAAGTTAGTGTTATTCCTTAGGCACCACATCATTGTCAAGCCTTAATAGTCTGGTTCTTTGAATTGGGACAGTGAAACAAAAAAGAACAATTTGTTCTGTTCGTCAATGTGCAGTATGTACAAAAAGCATAAAATCTACATGTAAGATAAAGAAAAACAACTTATTTTCTTTGCAGCAAGATTACCTTGTGTTTTAAGTGGCCAACATCTCCGATTTGCTCATCCTTCTAGGTCTAGTGAATTTCATACTATCTACCATGTAAGAATAAGTAAATGAGATCCTGTAACAGTGGATATTAAATAGATATAGAAAAGTTGTGGATCAGCATTAAAGTATCTGTTGCCATCCTCTGCGTTCCAAACCTTTTGTATTTGGAATGTTAGTTCAGAACTTAGAATTTTCAGCTTATTAGCCAACTGAGGTTACATTGATTCTTATGTATACCTGTCAGTCTTCTCCTTCCCAATACGGTTGCCTTTACTTCCTCTAGGGCTGGTATGAGTTGGAGAGGAAGTAAATCTAGCCATTTTTATATTTCTAGTTTACCTCCTATATGGAACATTCTTTCTAAATTCAAACTATCAATCTGTGGACAATTTCATCGAAATAAGTGTACTGTGATACTCGTATCATAAACAATACCTTACTGCATTTAGCTACAGTTTATAGGATGTACGAGGTAAAAGTAGGTATTGCGCTAAAGTGACCCTTGAGCATTTTATGATGTATTTCTGCTGAGTGTGTATGTTAGTGAGTCACTGATAATTATGTAACTGTTGCAAAGGTCCTTTGATTGATTCCTGTGTAAAATGTTGGAGGGGTTTACTTTATAAAATATTAACATTGTATAATTGTGAATTTAGACAAAGAGCAAGAAAATGTATGTGTATGTCTGGCAATTAAAATAAGTAATGAATTATGATAATGAGACAGTGTTGAAATGTGCAGTTGAAAATCTCAATGTGATCAAAGCCATCCGAAAATTTCAGGCATTCATCCAAAACTGCAGATAAATTGTTTAACATTTACATTACTAAAACACGAGCAATATGTCACTTGAGTATACAAGAGACCTCCATGGTGGTGTTCTTTTGTTCTCCATTATCATTCCCACAAGCAGTTCTCATTAGCTGATGTGAATCAAAACATTTCCTACTGTAGTTCTACATATCTTCCCATGGCCCTACGTATACAACTTGCCCCCACCCCCAAAAAAAAGACGTGATAATTGCTAATCCCTCTTTACCCATGTGACAAAAAATAACCGTTCAACTTGTTTATATTAAGATTATGCAATATGAGTTAATGTTCTGAAACTGGCCTGTTTTCTATTAATTAAAAATTCTAGTTGTGTAAGAATTAACTGGTTCAGGTTCCTGTGGAAGGGTAAGGTGGTTGATGGTGGTTTTTGCCATGATGTGTTTTTAAATTTTCTCCTTAGTCTTTGAATGTGCGTATGCATTTTGATCTCTGATCTCTCCGAACAACAAGTCAAGAAAAGTA